TTAACTTTAGAAATGTGAGTATTTTACAGCCTAGTCTTTATCAATTTTTTTTTTTATTTAGCTATTAACACTTATGTTTTACCTTCAGTAGACTATTATCAGATTTCTATCGAGTCAGGCTTTGGTATATAGCAAAGATCTTGATACATCTAGCAAGCAGTTAACCTCTTACCCTGCTCTCTCTTGTAACTGTGATTATGATGAATGAGTGGTTAGTTCTAAGCAATTCTGTTTTATGTCAATAAATGAATCAAACAGACATTGGTATCTGGGCATTAGGAAGATAGAGAGAAAATGAAGCTGTCTGTGGGCACTTTATAACCCTTGCTCTTTTAAGTAATATGATTTGAAAAGTTAATGCTGACATCAGCTGTTGGTATTGTTCATCCATACTGCAGAACAAGACATTCTTCTTTTTATTTACGTAAAATGAGAAATACTATCTATAATTTATTACTCACAGCGTGGCTTAAAGGAAATTCTCTTTACAGCTTTCCTGAGACACTGCACTGTAGTTATTAAATTACTGGAAACTTTGGGTTTATGATGAACAACCATTTCTTCCAGAAATATTTGGTCTCTGCAAATGCCAATCCCGTGCTGAAAACCTGCCCAGGTATGGACCAGTGCAAGGACTTGGCTTCTATATTCTTATTTGTGCTTCTTAACAGAAATACTCCCAAGCATTGCAAGCAACTTCAGCAGCATATAGAATCGTTTGGATGAGGATTTGCATTTCATTGCTTAGCACTTTTGCAAAGGAGTTTTGAGACAGCAGATGGATGCAGTGCATTGCACGGATCTCATCCAGCACACATATGGAGCAGCAGCAGAGCGAGGAAGCCCTGCTTACACACAGAGCACGACAACCCCCTGCAAGAGAAAAAGCCTTTCTAGCAGCAGCTTCACTGAATGGCTCAACTTCACCAGGAATTCAGCAATGACAGCACGTGTGGCCCCTGCCTTTGTGCAGTGTGTCAGGAGCTGCTTGCATGGTGCTCCTGCCCACCACTGGTGTCCTCGTTCCAGTAAAGAGTCTTAGAGCCTGAAACCCCTTGGGTTTATGTGGATCAAACCTGGTGTTTTGTGCACTTTCTCTTGTGCCATGCATTTCATTCTTCGTAAAGAACTGTAGGAGATTTCTGGGCTCCACTAAATATCAAAATCCCACAAGCAGTTTAAGTGCTCTATTTGTTTATGGTAAGAAAAGCTGTGTAAAACGAATACAATGCTTTCACAATACAAGCATTCTGTGTACCCGTTTATTTGCTTGCTTACTAGCAAGAAACAGCCCGCATGGTCAGTGGAGAAGCAGCCAAAATCATGTCTGCTGCAGTCAGAGTAAAGGGGATCTCACATAGGAGCAGGTTTCTGTGCCAGCATCAAGCAACAGACTTTCCTTCTATTGGAACTACAAGTCCCTGGGTGACCTCCCACAACCACACAGCTTGAGATAAAATCACCCAGGGGAGTCCATCAGACATCCCAGCTGGAAGCACAGGCTGGGGAGAGAGAGAACTTCAGGCACTGAAAAACAAACGGAACTTTTGGTATTTGAGTTGTGGGCTGCTCATAGCAGAGGGCTGGCCCAGCCCCCTTTCCCTCCCTTGAGTCCTTTTCCCACACCTTCCTCTCTTCAGGTACAGCTACAAAACTCCAGATGGATCTGTCAGATCCTCACTGGCAAATGTATTTGGGGACCAGGTCTGAGCTGAGTAGAAATAAATGCTTTTTACTCAGCTTACTGTCTCTTAAGAACATCTAAGATATATATATATATTTAGGAATTTTTTCTCAGACTAAAAACTGCTTCAAGGCAGGTGTCTTCTTTTTATCTATTTACACCACATGTTATATACTGGAAATTTGTTTCTTATTAGAAAATTTGTGTGTTGCAATCCTTACACAAAAACAGCAAGATAGGGTTCCAAAAGATATCGATTTTATATTCACCATTTATAAAATAAACCCAGGAAAACAGAGCTTCAAATTGCTGAGGGTCTAGTTAAATGATGGTTCAAGCAGATTATTTTATGTCAGCAGGGAAGGAGGCAGAAGAGGATGAAGGTCTCTGATACCTCCAGCACACTCGTGCCAAAAAAGGCACAGGTGTTGCAGCAGAGATTCTGGTTGGGCATCCCTTGGCTGTCCTAACAGGAACTTTGAAATACTCAGCTCTTTACACAAAGAGCTGTGTGATAAACTGGCAAACATCTCCTTGACCAAAATGCTGATTAACAGCCCTGTCTTGAGAAGAGAAAAATGGAGATGAACTTTTTGAGACTTGAGTTCAGTGTATTGTTTTTGTGGAAGGTAGACACCATATATTTTCCCAAATATATCACCTGTAATTCAGTAGAACATCACATTTTATCAATTAAACCCATAAGGTAATAGTACCAAAGACTTCATTTGCTCCAAATAAGCTGTGCTTTCTTTGACTTTGTTATAAAATATTCACAATTAAATAATTTTCTCCTTTTAAACAAGCTGGTATAAATACAAAGCACAAATCTGTTTGTTCAGATGCTCCATAATGTAAATAGAAACAGTCCAAACTAAACAAACAAAAAAAGTACAAATGTTGCCTTAAAAATAAGATTGGGGAAAAATATTAAATATTGAGTTTGAAGCAGAGCATGCTTCTGTTGATATGCTGATCAAAGTGTTTGAAAAAATAAAATTTACCTATCCACAATGCCAGTTTTGTTGTGTCATGTGTGTGTTCCCTAAGTGTTTCTGGTTCTGTTCTCAAACCTTCTTAAAATAAAAATCCTGTTCGTTTTTCAAGAAATTTGATTTTGTTCCCAAATACTATTAAATTTTTTCACCATATTTTCAACACAGGTTTTTCACCATAGAGCTCAAAACACTGAAGTTTCATGGGCTTTAACACCCTCATTTCAGGTTTTATTTTTCTCACTCTGTCAATGCTTTCACATTGTAGCCAAGTCACAATAAAATGTTTGCACAGAAACTGAACTGCTAGTTAAAAGATGGATCTAATTGCTGATGTACAAGCAAAGTCGGGTTTAAATGCTGTGCTATTAGATGACATTTATTTTGCCATTTATACCTTTAAATAACTGCTGCAGTTTACTACTGGACAAACCTACTTGAGAAGAACAATTAAATAAATTAAACCACGTTAAAACCACATTCTTGAAAAAAAAAAAGTAACCTTTAGTTAGGACAATTACTCTGTGGGCATAAAACAAAAGCACAAATGTCACATTTTCCGTGAAATTTACTTTGGTATGAATCATCAATCCTGTTTTCCCCTGAACAAAACTAGCCAAATATGACAAATAAAATCCCAAAGTTGCCTGAACTGGATGATCCAAGTAATTACATGTTACAGCAGAATGCATCTATGACAAAACTTTCAAAAATTTGAGGGAAAAGTTAGTATAGCCCCTGGTTGAAATAGCTTTGGTCTAGACCTATAGCAGCATTTAGCTGATCTTGCTATATTCCCATATAAAAATATGCAGAGTTTCAAAGATCAATCTTCCCAGCACTGATCTGCACTCCTTCCCTTTGGAGTACAGATCAAACAAACACGCTATAAAAACATGCCCAAATATTCTAGCATAACATGAAAAAGGTATACACTTCTCATTAGCATTTTTAAAATACTGCTTAGAATTTATTCTCAAAACCCCTTATACAAGCAAACTTCTCGTCTTCCATGCCAAGCCCTGGAGCTCCCACCTCCTCCTTTGCTTGGGGCCTGTTTGTGCATCCCCAGCTCCTGATCCCGAGTCCATCAGCTCCCATGGTCAGCTCACAGGCATAAATATTTGCAGGAATCAAGTCTTTAAGTGGAAAGGTACCTGAGGTCACAGCCTGTGCTAGTAGTCTATTTTATCAGTCTCATTTATGACCCTGTACCTAGTCCTGTTAGTGCATAGTAAGAATCTGTGTCTGCCTAACTCATGTACAGAATATTTGTAAGTTTGGAGAGGTAATTGAGATGATTTAAGATCTAAACCTGGATTACTGTAGAAATACATCAATGCTTTTCTCAGTATGTGAGGAAACACAGGGCTGAATCCATCAGTTGTACCTCCTACATTTCATTTTATTTTCAGTTTATGTGAACTTAAGGTTAGCATATGTTTCAAGCTATATAGTGCTAAACACTAAAATGAGTCACTGAAGCAGGGAAGAACAGCCAGCACGGTGTTGGCTCCTGCACATATTCATGTCACTGTGGCTGAGGTGTGGCTTGAGGAGGACACTGAGCACAGGCCAGGCTGTGCCTCATCATTTCATCATCATCTTCATTGCCCAGGCACATCCCATCCCACATCCCAGCACGCCAGGGCTCTCAGCTGGACTAACAGCAGCCAGTCGTGTGATCAAAACTGTCCACACCTCCCATGGGAGTTTAAACCCTTCCTTGATTGACCTAAACCCAAGGATTGATTTCAAAGGACTTTTTCACACCACTTTTGTTACTGCAGCTCTGTGTTGGTGTCAGCCAAGAGGAGCAGGACTCAGAGCAGCAGTCCACACTGTAATTACTAAAGCCCTTTTTTATGTTTCTGACACTACATGAACTGAACAATACTTACAACTTCTCACCCAATTAGCTTAGGACACAAAAATTTCACCACGAAACTACCATGGAATTTATTCCATTGCTTTCCTTGGAAAGTGTGCTCTATACTGAGGTATCAAGAGCTACTCTTTGTATAGATTAATATATTAGTATTTCCATTTATAAAAGAGAAAAATGAAGAAAAGAAACTGATTGCTTAAAAAAAAAAAAGTAGCAAAGCCAGAAAGAATATAACAAATTCCTCATTCTCAATTCAGTAATCACTTTGTATTGCCTTCTCAGAACTATTTTTCAGTGGTAATACTTGGTTTTGAACTGTTTATCTTGTTTGATAATATTTTCTTTATCTCTGACTGAAAATGTTCCTTTAAAAAAATGCTGACCTGTAAATGAAGCAAAGTGCAAATACAATAGCAAAACTATATGTGAAAATGAACATTTGTAAAGAGGAAGGGTTAGTACAAATTGAACACATTTCCATATTGAGAGGCCATACTTTTTCCCTGATGAATGCAGTTTTGTGAACATCTTTTTCCACAAATGATTGAATAAATATTTATTCATAAACTATATTTGTGACTTAAGAGAACAAGCTGCAAAGATTGGTTTCATTTATACTACATCATACATGAGCTATTGCAATAATTTACATCATGCCAAGTCTAGAGCCCATTAGATTTTCCTTATTATACTTGACTAAAGCTGAGGACCATCCAAAACAGAAATTCTGAAAGTTTTCTATTTGTTTCATGAATAATTATCTTCCTCCTAGAGCCTCTCCTCTGGTTTTCCCTTTCTCCAAACATTTCTGTTGAGGTGTAGTCCCATTTGATGTATTTGAGCTCAGGTATAACTCTGAAAATGTTCCCGAGCTGTGGCCTCAATGATTATGGTTATGCTGAAAAAATAAAAGCCAGATTTCTCAAGGATACAAAAATGTATTCCTAGTTCAGCAGATGCTGGTCCTCCCAGTGTTTCCTCAACAACACCACACAGCATTTCCTCTAAAAGTCCTGCCTGTCTTGAGTCACAGCCCCAGTTCTTTTCTAGAAATGATTTTTATTGCAGAAATTTGATGCAAGTGCCACCATTGATGTGTTACGTTAAGCTGTTCTCCCATCGTTGTTATTATTACAAAAATGACATTGTTATTATTACAAAAATAAAGTTTGAAATAATAATATTTACTGTTAATTCAGTATTCTGCTATTCAGAATAACAGACCCATAAGTTGGTGGCAAAAAAAAAAAAGTAGTGAGGTCAAATTCTTGCTAAATGAACATGCTAAAACATGTGATACAACAGTGACATTTCAAAATTATTTCCATTCCCCATATCAAAAGAGTATTAGAAGGGTGCACATAACAGAGAAAATAATAAATACTTACAAATACACAAGAGAATCAGCCCCAGCTCCCAGAAATCACTGGTAAGTTGCTTTTGAATTCATGAAACTGACCTGAAAATATAAAAGGGGAAAAAAAGTTGAAGCAAAAGAAAGGCCAGAACTGATAAATGTTACTTTTTTATTATTATAAAAGAGTTATGATTTTTAACCATGAACCGAAGAAAGCAGAACACAAGACTGTTGTCACGCTTTCAGCTAAGTAATTTACACAGAATTTGTTTCCAGGAAGCCAATACCAAGAGAAACAATTATTTCATTGTTCTGCATCTCACAGCATAGCAACCCAGTCCATTATTGCTTCTAAGAACTGTCATAAATGCAAGCATGGTTATCTTTTAATAAGAAAAATAGCTGTGAGGGGGTTTCTGGCTTGGAAATTTTTTTTTTATGTTCTCAAGTGTTACAGAACATTTATTACTTTTTTTTTTTTTTTAATGTAAGTAGTTTGTTAACAGCATTCTGCAGCTTACCTGGTGTAAAATTATTGTTTAGGTCATTTAATTGGAATCCATCTAAGGCAAAACTCATACAAAGAAGAAAGACTAACGATTTTGTTCTCTTATGGTCTAGATCCCAGTTAGAAGCTTAGCCTAAGTACAATGCAGTCACTATAAGGCATGATTAAATCCAACATTCTTTTTCCTGCATACCCCTCAGTTCTAGTTGGAAAGGTAACAGATGCAACTCAAACCCACAGAGCTCGCCTTATAAAATTCTTTAACTAGCACAATGACTCACTTTATGCCTCTAAATATCCATGGTTTCCTCTCTCCAGAACCCCCATGCATTAGAAGGTAGTTCAGTAGTTTATTTTTATTGTTTGGTCTACATACAGCACATTTTTAGTTCTTAGGAAAACAAAGAAACTTTGTTGCACAGCCCTTGTTTCCTTTCCAAAATGTGAGGATGGATATGGGTAACATTAAACTGAAAATAGTAATGGAGCCTGGGCAACTAGTTTAGGTCAAAACCTTTTTGTTCTCAGGGAGCTATCTGATTAATTTGCAGTTCATAAAACAGTGGGTGTAAGCTCAGTTTAAAAACATGTAACTATATTTAAAGATGAAATTGTCATTTTTGTTAGCCCCCAGTAATCTTTAAGAAACACCTTCCCACAACATTTCTGTATCCTAAAGTGCACCAGCCAGTACTGCACAGTGCCTAGAGACAAGGAGAGAATACCAAACTTATCTTGATGCAGAATATCCTCCTTATTTCATACACCCACCCTGAAGTGCATATTATTCATTCCAACCAAGCTCTCCCCCATCCTGAAAGTACACATTTAATTGTGTCTTCTCTCCTGTAATACCAACAGTCAACAAATCTCATTTGCTCTATCAATGCTGTGTTGTTATTATATATTTTAAAAGCAAGTCTGAATCTCATTATCAGCTGATTTATGCCATTAGTGTGCTTTGGAGCCACCAATTAAACAAGGACAGTGGTTCATAAGGTCACAGTTAATTAATCTGAAAGTATAAATACACTTTAATGCACACCACCTCATGTTGAGAATTTAGGAACAAAGCACCAAACCTTTATTCTGGGCAAGCAATTAGGGGGAAAGGTTAAACATACAAAATTTTAAACTTAGCTTTAGCACTCTGGTAATCTACCAGGGGAAAAGTTCAGTTTGGTAAAAAATCCTGCAGAACAATATGTGTGTGGAGCCTTAATTCTTACAGCAAGAGTGCAAGTGAGAGAAGGCAGGACAGGGCTGAGTATCCTGAGCAAAGGAAGGCTTCTGGCTCAGACAAATCCCCAGAATTGTGAACCAGCTGCAGGTTTGTCCATTGTGGAGCTGGGCAGGGTGGGGGAAAAAAGCCCAACCCTAAAGAGCCTGGTCTATTCAAAATGGCCCCATCAGAGCTGAGGTGTCTGTTTAGCAGACTGTACAAAACCAACTTTTCCTTCAACCACTTTCCCTTAGTAAATTTAATAAAATAGTGCAATCGAGGAAGGGTTCAGTCCACCAACACAAGCAGAGTGCAAGGGAAATGCTGAAAACAAGCTAATCTATCAGAAATTGTTATTCACAGTGACATTTCAAGTGTGAGGTATCTGGAGTTTACAGGGAAGAAAATACCTTTTTCTTACTGCCTGGACTCATTTTACCTTGCACAGTTCTCTGCTCAAAAGAAAGACAATATTGCTAACACAGAGACACAGAAAAGTAAATCACATGACCTAATGAGATGGAGTTGTTGCAAACTACTTTTTCTCCTATTGCACCTGTGTTCCTGTATTCTGTAGCCTCCATCACTTTTATTGTTTTTAGATGTCCAAGTACTTTTTCTTAAACTGACAATGTTTTCTTATCCACGTAGAAAACTTTCTGTCCATCAAACACTAACATCATAACATTAATAAAAATTGCTCTATTAGCTCAAACCATTTATGTTTTCTCTTTAGATGTCTAGAGTTGAACTCCAGGTGACCACACAGGTGAAGAGCTGTTGCATAAACATATACAAGGTCAAAATTATCTTCAAAGTATTCTGTAGTTTTAATTGGTTACAAATCCCACCAGAAATTCCACTCTGATATTTTGCAGTTGAAAAGCTTTCAAAACATTCTGAATACCTGCAATTTCTGCATGTTTAGAAGATTTCTACCATCCTTATTAAAGGACCTGCTCTCCCAATGCTACTTTGAAAGGGGAGAAAAAAAGTTGTAAAAGCAACTTATGCTCTGATTTCAGGCACATTTGCTAAAGAGTTAGTAAAGGTAATCACTTCACATTGACCTAACTAAGAATAATACACAGCCATCCACAATTTAACAGAATCCTTCAAAATAACTCAATTTGTGAAAGGCTGAGCTTTGGCTTGTCTTGCAAGCACATGTTGGCACCAACACTGGACATAAAAGGGATTATGAACATCACTAAATGACAGTAGGAGCCTGTTTACCCCATGAGTTATGAACCAAAGAAAATTCCATAAAAAGCTGAATATCAGTTATAAAGTAGTCATCTTTTAATAATTCACATTGGTCTCAGTCTTCAGAAAAAAAAAAAATCCACATAATTTTTGGAAAGTGGAAAAAAAAATCACTAATGTTTTAAATCCTTAATTAAAATATTCTGATTCTTCTAAGCTAGAGCCTGCACAGGTAGCCTTTATGGTCTGTGCACAGTCACCAGTGAGCATGAAGGAAGCCTGGAAGCAAAAAATGGAAGCAGTCATTTAGTAAAAAGCATGGCATCATGTTATATCATTTGAGAATGTGGCCTATCATTGTGGGCTGCTGGGACTAAAATATGTATCATTTAAAAACTGTTAAAAAACTATTTTCAGAATGATAGCATGATGTGAAATGAGAAAAAGGAATAATACAGAAATGAAACTGCACATTTAGGGCCTGAATCACATAGTCATTTCACACCCTTAAATGTGCAATATTTCACAATTAAAGCATCATTAATGACCTGTAAGTGTCAAGACATAATCACAAAAATTAAGGAGGCAGTTGGCTGATTGTAATGAAAACCTTTGAACTGGATTTCTAAAAATCTTCCTTAATTCAGATAAAGGACACTTTTTCAAGATGGTTCAATGAAAAATGTTTTACTTACTCACAGAATATTCTTCATACATGATCATTTTGAAACAGGAAAGCAAACACAGTAATTAACCACTACAAGCAAATTCCTGCTAGCTTCCCTTTGTTTCACTTCTGTTCAAGCACTCAAGGATTGTATTTTACTGCCTTTGCTGGCTTCTTTCTTGAAATCTTTACTCTTATTCATTCTATGCATAGATTAAAAAAAAAATCTCAAACCAATAAATAAAAAAAAACCCCACAAAATAACTACAACATTGTTTCCCTATCACTTTTCATTTTAAAATAGTCCCTCTGCTGTGATCTTCATTTGGATTTTTGTATTCCCTAACAGAGATTGCAGTCAAGTGATCCATCAAAGAAGGAATCAGAGCACACCACCTGCTCCACAAGTGGTCATATGAAAACACAATTTGCATCAGAGTGAGGTAAGAACCACACCACAGGGCATGCAGTGTAAAAATTGGTCTCCAAAGCTCTGAACTCAGTTTTGTTACAGATTCTCTGCTCAGCCTTCAGCAGAAGTTGCTTTGTGCCTCTTAGTTCCATATAAATAAAAAGGAGCTGGTGCTTCTTCCCTCTGTGCTTTACAATTCCACACCCCAGGAGCTGTGATGTCGTTCTTAGAGAAAGGAGGCTCAGAAGAAGTCCCTAAAATAGGCCACATCTCCACATTGCTGCAGGCAGATATGAGCTCACTCCCTCTGCCCACACTGGGAGATGACTGGCCACAAACCCACTCTAATCCAGTTTAGCTCTGGTTAGCACTTACGTAAACTACACGACTTCCAGTTTAGAGCAACCTCACATCTGCCTACAAAAAACATGTCAACAAACACATACCACGGTGGTGTTTCTGTAAACCACCTCTTTAAAAAAAGGAGCCCCATAAACATCACCACTTTTTGCCAAATTCCACAGACAGTGGTTCCCTGTCTTTTCCCAAAGGGGTGTCACTCAGTAGTGGCACATTACCTGGCAGGGTTATATTATAGAACTGGCTATAAAAGCTCCTTATCGTCCCTTGTCTAACAAATATTTGTGTTTTTGTGTAGATGTCCTCGGGAAGGTTTCTCTGCTGTCTGCTTGCAGATCTATAAAGCATCCAATCATTACAGTACACGAATGTAGAATATGAAATTTATGTAGTATCACTCCCTAGCGTAGCATCTGCTGAAGTCTAAAAAGGATTTTCATAATAGAAAGTATTGCATATCTCCAACAACTAATTTAAGTATATTATTACATTTACCACAAAAATTACGCTTGAAAACACCAAAACCATCTTAATTCACCGTGCAGATGAAAGAAATACCTAAATATGCATTTATTCCTTGGTATAAAAGGCAGGGTGCTAGCATTCCAGATCTGATAAGCTCTGTGTGCATTCTTTGGAGCAGATAAGAACCACAAGACATGCACCACGCTGCTCGCAGGGCTGAAGGGAGAGGAGCAGCTCCAGTTATAACTCATGGGCTGCAGAC